CCCAGGTCTTTGGTAGGGGACCCGAGCTTAAGGTAGACACATGACCACCACCACCCCCATTGGGGTGAGCGGGGGATATATATATATATATATATATATATATATATATATATATATACACACATATTTTGTTTTTCTTTTTTCCTCTGTCTACTGAGTTGACAGAACTATGTTGAACTATGTTGTTTTTTTTTCTGTTGGTTTGTTTTGTTTTGTTTACTTGGGTTATTTTCCTTGTTAAAAGCTTGTGTATGTTTGCGTATGTGAACACTTAAAATGCGAAAAATTGTTGGTAAAAAAATAAATAAAGCAAGTACTACAAAAGTCAAGAAACAGAGAAAAAAATCACAACAGGATGATGAAGAGATGCTATAAAATTATGTACAATATATCTATTTTAAAATGAAGGAGCTGAATACTTCTGTCCATGTACCTGAATTAATATTAACAAACTATATGTTCTCATTCATTCAGACCTGATTATCTGAAAAGCTAACAGGTGAAATGATTTTATTAGTCTCTCAGACTCTCACAGCTAAACTGACACTGATGAATATTGCCAATCAGTGAGGTATTATATGATCAAGTCAATCCTCATTTGGCTGAAACTTCTCCTGCCAAAAGAATAGCTGGTGCTCCTGTGAGACCTCCATCTTTAAGCCTTGACTGAAATGTGATTATAGTAACATATCCAAATTGTTTCTCCTGAGATTACCTCTGCATGGCATCCTTTCAAATACGGATGACAGAAATACGAAACCTGCTCTTTAGGCTCTTTGAAGCCCTTTCTAACAATGCCATCTTCCTTGCTCTTGTTATTGTTGCATCTCCTTTGACATTCACCTCAAACTACCCAAGAGCAAAGCAGCCACACTCTGCAAATTCTTTCATTTACACATCAACTGCTTCTCCAATTCAGTTTCTTTTTTCCCCCACCAGAGTTGCACTGGAACTCTTTTCCTCTCCATTTTCTATTATTCATCAAAAGGAGCTTAAAGCACCTTTCCCTTCCCATTACGTTCATTAAAATAAAACACAACCACTAGTTACAGAAAATCGATTTTGTGGCTTCGAGCAGAGGAAGAAGAAAAAGAGGGAGGGAAGGCAGACAGGAGAAGAGGTTCCTGGATGGATGAACCAAGACTTGCCCTCAATTTCTGACACTAAATTCACATAATTTGTCTCTTTTGCTTAAATTCTGAGGAAATTTGTATTTTTGTGGTGGTGCTCACACTCAATCTGACAATACAGGCTCACAGACGAACGCACAGTTACTCAACACAAAGGCCCCTTTCATCTGTTTGAGTATGAAAGTGACTCATCTGACAACTGTTATCAGTTTGCAACAACTAAAAGTATTCTTGATCTACAATAGAAGCTGCATGCAACGTAACTCTGTGTGAACAAATTATTTCTTCCTACTAAAATTAGATTTAGAGATAGAGCTGCAGGTCATTAGAAAAAACACTAAATAACAAAAAAAAATCCTTCAGAAGTTGGAGCACTTTCATTGCTAGCTTGAGTAGTGTGACCTTTTTAAAGCTGATTCACTGGGATTTTGAGTTATGTGTTTTTAAATATAGTAATGCCAGTTTATTTCGAGCGCAGCACTCTGGGGAGAGTTATCACAATGGCCTCATTTTGCCAGAGTGGGATGGCAATCTTTTAGTGCAAGACTGTGTCATTGTCAAGTTGTGTTTTTTTTCTCCCTCATTCTGTCTGTTGGTTATCTGATGTTCTTGTTGCTATATTTACAAGCTCTGATAAAAGCATCATTTTAGCCCCCGGTAGTGCATGAAAACAACATTTAAGAATGGACACAGGCAAAGTTAAACATAGGTCAGACAAGGACAATAACTGAAATCAGTGTAGAGCTATGCTGTCAGAAAGGCAGCAGAGCAGCACATGCAGTTTACACTTTATATTACTCAACAGCTTAGTAACTGTGTATTTTTACTTTTAAGACATTTGTGTTTCTTGTAAATGTTTACCTCTCCATTGTGGTGTCATGGGAATTCATACGCAGATGCAGTAAAGGCTATATAAACAATTTGGATTTGGATCATTTGCATGGCCAGCTAGATTTTTTAAACTGCTCAGCATCAGGGGTGCGTTTTGTTTGTGGTATTTCAAAAGAGTAAATGCAATGCAATGTAATGTAAACACATTTCTTAATATTGGCCAAAGGAAGCCTCTCTGATACTGCAGGAGTTGGGGGACTAATTTTATTAGTCTATATGCATTGTTATTTATATTATCTAAATGTTATCTGCTTCATATAAGCTTATTTTTCTTATCCACATTTTAAATATTTAGTTTTTTTATTTTTTAATTTGCACTTGCATCTCTATCATTTTATTGCATATTTAGTGCTTTATTGCTCATTGCTGTTTGATGAAAGTGCTCTGATGTTCTTAATTTTTTTGTATCTAATACAGGATGGGCTTACATGGGTCTCTGACTTTTATTTTTATTCTGGATATTTTTTAATCCGCACAGCAAGCTTGAAAAGTGCTATATAAATAAAGTTATTATTATTATTATCATTATTAGCTAAGCTGCCAGGACACTATTGTAATCCTAGGTATTCTTTTTCTTCTTTCTTCTTCCGAGGAAATCATACTTCTCATGGGTGAAAACTCACCAAACTTTGCACAAAGGTCCAGTCTCATGCCAGATATCCTCAGCTGTAAACTCAAGCCAATAGTCCTGATGGTGGCGCTACAGTAAGTGTCTAAAGTTCAAAACTGAAAATTCATAACAAATCAACCATACGTGCTTCACAACTTTCATCAAACTGTAGCCACAGTACTGAAGAAACTTTTGTACATTTAAACCTATTAAAAATTATGAAGTTCATCACTCTGTTTTTTTCAAAAACTGTAAAACTTCTTAAACCTATCTCCTCCCACAATTTTTGCTCAATTGACACCAAACTTGCTACAGAGCATCTTCAGACTGTCCTACAAAAACTTAAAGATTTTTGATTTATCAAAAATTGAGCCTACAGTGCATCAAAATGTTTGACTGTAAACAGTATTGTAAACATATACATGCAAATTCTTGGTAAATAAATCTTCAATGTTCATGAAAAAAAAATGACAAAATTCTAGAGTCATGGTAGATGATGTGTGGCAAATTTTATCTCAAAAACTGAATTTTTGACAGCATTTTGAATTTTGCTCTAATGTGAACAATTGTCAATGTCAATGTAAAAATGGCAATTTTAAACATCAGTTTTTCACTTATGAAGCAAATCAATCATTGTTACAAACAAATTACCAACATCTCCATGCTGTCTAGATGCAATGTGTGTATTTTCAGATTTTTGTTTCGATAACTGAATTTTTTACAGTGGTTTGAAATCTGCTTTTCCATGCATGGACAGCTGCTAAACCTGCACGTCTGGCTTAGTCAATTTGTGAAGCTACACATGAATTGTCACTGACTAATTAGCTCTGTGAGATAGAAATTGATTCTTAGTCTCAGAGGTTGTGAGTTCAAGCCTCAGCTGATGCAAAAGGCAGATTGTGTTGCTAAATTCCTAAATGTCTTCCAATTCTTCTGCTTGTTGCTCAGAATTGCCTAAAAATGCCCGGACCTGACCCATCACTGCGCAGCAGCTATAATTAGTATTAGTATTAGTATTATTACTACTACTAGTAGTACTTAATACATTGACAGCAGTTATGAATTTATATTGAGTAAGAGGCCTTTGATGCACTGTACCACAGAGGACGAGACCGACATACAGTTATCCTTTCATATGGTTCATATGATGGATTTTTGTCACTGACCCATGTAATGGATTTAAATCTGAGAAAGTAGAAGGATTTGGTGCAGCAGGTGTAGAGGGAAAAAAATATTTTGGAGAGTTTTCTAAATAAATTTACTGATACACTCATACAAACGGGCTAAATCTGAATTATATCCATGTATCTCTGTCCAGAATCATAAATAAACTACTTTCAACCTAAGCATTTTATTAAAATAAAATTATAATTACACAGTCTGGTCTTGTTTACAAAGTTGTATTAACTCTGACAGGAATTAAACACCTGATAAAAGGTTCATTATTGTTTACTCTTATGTCTATTCTTATTTGTATGCACACATTTTTATTTTGAGAGCTCACATGAAGTACTTCAGCTCCACAAATTTGTCATTTGTATGCAAGGTATCCATTTGAGAGCATGCATTTGTCATTTGTGCACACAAATAAGGCATTTCCCCCCTCACTTTCCCACTCTCTCTCTCTCTCTCTCTCTCTCTCTTTTTTTTTTTTTTTTTTTAGAAATAAACTTAATTTAGAACAATTAAACATACAAATTTTCGCAGGAATATTGAATCTTGCATTCTTCTAGACAATGTAAACAGATTCAAAACAGATTCAAAACAAAATCAAAGTTTCAAGACTATAATTGAAAATATATATTTTTTAATAAATACATATTTAAAAAATTGAAAATAAAACAATAATACCTGTAGATGGTGAAAAATAAATGTATTTATGGCAATATTCGTGTATCAGTTAATATTTGCATAGGTTAAAACAGTTCTTTCATTTATTTAAAAACTATATTAAAGGGGGTTTCTCATTTTTCCATTTATATGAGTGAATGTGATATTTACCTTTAATTATAATGATATTGACCATATCAGATATTTTTTTGGAGGGGAAAAAAGTCCTCTGGGCAAATGTGTGTAAAACTCTTTGGCCTAAAATACATTCCAGTTAATAATAGTAATAATAATAATAATAATTAACACAATTATTATAATTTTCGACTTTAATCCTAATATGTACACGTTACAGTTGAACATAAACACATGCAGCCCCATATATTATATAATTAATATTTTCCAATGTTGTTTCACTTGAGAAAGTAGTTTGGGGACTGTGTATTTCACTCACGGCTCTGTTCGACTGCAAGAAGGTCTGACCGGGTAATACCGAAGGTCACCGGAAAATACCGAAAGCCGCGGTGCCTGCTGGGAAAGTACTTACTCGACAAGCCGCCATCTTTCTTTGTAGAGAGTTAGTTGGACAAAATAACAACCTGATTTAGATGATTATTTCTCCGAAATACAATCATTGAAGCTGTTCTTTTTGGTCAGTTATTGTAAATAATAAGTTTACAGAAGACCAGGTGGAACAGAAGTCCAGATATTGCCCACAGATCAGACATAAGACTCAGTAGTTTGGTGCAAGCGCTATATTGGTTGAGGTGGTCAACATGGGCCGATCTCGGAGCCGCAGCTCATCCCGGTCAAAACACTCCAAAAGCAGCAAGCACAGCAAGAAACGGAGCCGGTCTCGGTCGCGGTCCAGAGACAGGGAGAGGTCAAAGAAGCGGTCCAAGTCCCGAGAATCGAAAAGGAGCCGTCGCAGAGAATCTCGTTCTCGTTCCCGGTCCACCACAGCCTCTTCCCGCAGAGACAGAGCAGCTTCGCCGCCGGAGCGCATCGACATCTTCGGCAGGACGCTGAGCAAGAGAAATGCTCTGGACGAGAAGCAGAGGAAGGAGGAAGAAGAAAGACGGGTAGAAATGGAAAGGCAAAGGAAGATGTAAGTTTATTTTAATAAGAGACTCGGCACTTACAACGTTACATAACGTTGCCCGTATTGAACCGTAATATATGCTGAGCTAAATGCTAGGCTAACTACATTTAGTTGTATAGGTAGCGTTAGCTCTTGCACAAGCAAGCTAGCCGCCAAAGCATGCTAACGTTAGCTAGGCTCTACTAGGCCCCGGCTAACGTTACACAGGAAGACTATTATCCCTGTCAGAGCAGACAGCTGCACCGCAGGGGTCAGCTCATCATTTCAGCTCGTTTACCTTTAGTACCTTAGTACCTTTAGACCATTTGGGATTTTAAGACTACTGAAATGATATTTTCTTTTTTACTCAGATAATGATTCGTAATGTCAAAGATTTCGCATTTGTGAAGAGGGAGTGATCAGTTTGTTGTTTAGAGTCATTAAAATCTAAAAACAAATTAATCATCCCTGCAGTTCATGCCCATCTGCTATTGTCATTGACTGTCACTGACTGCATTGTCAGTGTAGCAGATACCAAGACAGGTCACTGGTCCTTAATGTAGGCTAATGCATTAAGCTTAGTGCTGTGTTGTGTGTCAACCACTGACTCTGATCAGATGATAATTCACAACAGCCACAGTTCTGTACGTCATATATTGAGCAACTATACCTAACGGTGTAAGGCGTCAGCAAAATAAATAAAATATAAAATCATGCCATAAATTGTACTCTGAGTATGTTCTGGGTGCTTGTCTGATTAAATAAGCACTTTTAAGCTCCTTACCCTCTATTCCTAACTTTTCCATAAGGTAGTTAGTAGATGTTGAATATTAGATCAATGCATAAATTAGTATGGAAATAACAGTTGGAAGCAGTCTTACAGAAGGAGGGGCACATACAACAAAATTACATTGTAGTCATCATATTTCCTAATGAAAACTAGAGCCTGACCGATCTGACTGATTGATCTGTTGGCCGTTATTGGCATAGATATCATATACAGTAGATACCTCGTTGACTGCTTCAGTCCCTTTCAGCGATGCGTCAACGTCGCCGCCATCTTGGGGAGGTCACTGCCGGCTGGCTAGTATTGTTGTGTACGGGGATAAGTCTTCAGCAAACTTGGCGTGCTCACTCAAAAGTCTCAAAGCGTAATTGGGTGCCAGTCCAAAATATTACAGCAAAGCAGAAAAACCAGACACCACTCACTAATAAGCATAATATTTTTTTAATATAGTGAATTGCACAGCAGCAGTCGAACAGACGCCTTTCAGCTCATAGCCGTCCTCAGCATTAGGAAATGGCCACTTTAGAATGAAAATGCAGACAGTACTTACTGACCCTCATGCCGACAAGAAGTCCAGTGTAGTTTTTAATCCACAAAACCTGTTTGGGGTATCGGAGGATAACAGCTAGGAGTGCTGTGTTTATATGGCAACTTGCGCGAGACTAGCTGATGGCTAGTTGTGGTGCTAGTTCTCGAGTCTCGCGCGAGTTGCCATGTGTACACAGCAAGCCTGCAGGGCAGTGAGAAATTGTGCTATGAAAGTGGAGTAAATTATGTCTTTTCAAGTCAATTTTGCATGCCGCGGCTTCAGGGCACTTGGATTACGACGGATGAGCCGTTCTGATGTTTTTGAAATGCATTAGTGGAGTTTTATTACATTTTCAAAATATGGGTTCCGTGCATTTCAAGTGTAGCTGTTATTCCGGCTAGCTGTTATCCTCCGATAGTTTTGTGGATTAAAAACTACACTGGACTTCTTGTCGGCATGAGGGTGAGTAAGTACTGTCTGTATTTTCAATCTAAAGTGGCCATTTCCTAACGCTGAGGACGGCTATGAGCTGAAACGCATCCGTTCGACTGCTGCTGTGCAATACACTATATTAAAAAGTATTATACTTATTAGTGAGTGCTGGGAGGTTTTTCTGCTTTGCTGTAATATATTGGACTGGCACCCAATTACACTTTGAGACTTTTGAGTGAGCACGCCAAGTTTGCTGAAGACTTATCCCCATACACAACAGTATTAGCCAGCCGGCAGTGACCTCCCCAAGATGGTGGCAACGTTGACGCACAGTAGCCACAGGAATGAGTCATCAATGATTATATATATCTATGGTTATTGGTTTATCACAGATATATCAGTATCAGCGTTTATGTTGGCCAATATGCACCGATATGAAAACTTTGTGTTTTAGAGACCATCATGCAAAAAAGATGCGTGGGATAATTTATAATTATTAAATCCCCAATGTAGTTTACTGTTTCAGTGCACTGATGTTATTTTTAACAGTGGAGTTTATTGTTAAACAGTAAAATTTCATGCCCCGTTATCTTTTTCACAAGTGTGTTTGATTCACAAGCCTACACTTGTTGTGAACCTCCTGCATTGAAAATTAAAGTATCCTCTCGAACCTGATTCTCTGGCCGGAATCATTTACTCCATAGTTGTCCTACCCAAACCAGTGTGTCCCTGAGGTCCCCTTCTTCACATTGCCCAAGCCGTGAGTTGCACATGTGCGTGTGTGTGTGCTGCTGATGTTACACAATGTCAATCATGCGGTGCGCTGGGAATTTGACCAGTGTTTTAAATTGGCATATTTTAGACTGACCGGCTTGAAAACCGGCCCAATTCCGAGCGCTGCCGATTAATCGGTGAAAGTGTAATCGTCACACATACAGCATTATCTGTCCCAGCAATGACAGAAAAAATTGTACATAGTTAATTTTCTTGAAGAACAATAAAAAGATTGTTGATAATGTTGGGGTACATTAATTAATATATTGATTTGGGGGAAATGTGGTGTATGGAAGATCGCTTGCCTGGTGTCAGTTAGGTACCTCAGTCCTTCTGAGCGACACTCAGCCTGTGGATGGGATGAGGCTGGTAACAGCCCCATTGCATGGGGGTCTGGTCTTCTCTGAATTGGGTTGTTTGCGTATGCATCCCAAAGTGGGTGGTAAACTCCATCTATGGCTAAATTCTAGGGCTGCATGGTTAATTGAATATGATCACAATTTTGGCTTCACACATTTAGATAATGTATGATAGTCTGCAATATTGATGTTTCAAATGAGTGCTCCGCTCGTAGAAAATTCTGTTGCATATTAAATCAAGCGCTTCCTAAACTAACAACTTCACTTTTGAAGAGCTCTGCACTCTGCAGCGGCAGCCTGTGAAAAACTTTCCCGACTGATGAAAACCATCCATCATCATCTGTTGTTAAGAAGTATTTTGTATTTAGAAGAGAACAAATCATGTGCAAGGAGTGCTCGACACTTGGATTTGCGCCACAAGGCAACTTGTGAAACCAGTAATAAAACCTCCACAATCTGCAGAATGATAAATGTATGAAAGCCAAGAAGAATGTCATCCATAGATATACAGTGATACTTATTCTACTATTCATTATTCTGTTCATTTGTTAATGTTATGTCACTTAACCCCCGTCCTCATCCAGCGTCAAGACATCAGACATCCATGGTGGAGACACTGCAGAGAAAAAAAACAGTGGCAGATACTAGGGATGTAATGATATGGAAAATTTGATATCTCGATTATAGTGACCAAATTATCACGGTAAACGATAATATTGCGATATTTTTTTAAGCGCTGTAAAATGTCCAAAAAATAGATACATTGAAATAACTTCACTAAATCTTGTAACTTCCTTATCATACTAAAATGTTAACAGCCAAAATCTTATATTTAAATGAAACTTTCACATTAAAGGGGCAAGGGATTGGCACAGCAACAGAAAATTTTATTTTAAATTAACAAAATATGTAAACACATTGCAGGAGCAAAGCTTATTTGTCTGGTGCATTTTAACAGTCAGCAAAATATGTTAACAGTTTATATATTATTTATTTCTTAGCATGAGAGGAAAAATATATATAAAACAAAACAATGCAAGAGTAGAACAAAAGACATACAATATATAGAATAGATATCACAAATATGCAGGAGAAACCAAAAAAACCCTAAGGGCAATGGTCATCATTACACAGAATAATTCACACATGAGAATTTTGCATGTGAGTCAGAGGATTACCTGTATGACAAAAGGAGTGCATGCTCTTGGTCAAAGGTTAACACGGCAGCGTTTTATGTTGTTTCCTTGAGCTTATGTCAAGAAAGCATAACTGGCCATCTATATCGATTCTAGCTCGCCATACAATAACCATAATCATAGTGATTCAATCATAGTTGATCTCAATTAGCGTAACGTTACGTCGGTTTATATTCTGTCGTCCTGTGTTGTTGTTGTCCTGCGTGCCGCTATTACCACCTTCCGCCATGTTTTCATTCTTTGTGTTTACACATGCTACGCATTCACGCAGCGCCTGCATCGCAAGACTTGAATGAGGCTGTTATTACATATCCTGATAATCCACCGCAATAATGCAATTAATTTAAACATAAACGGTAATTCTTACCGTGTAAAAATTAACCGAAATTTACCGTAATATCGGTAATCGTTACATCCCTAGCAGATACATAGCCTATCCTTACACTGCACTGAATTTAGGTAAAGAAGAACCTTATTTTAAGTCTCACTTTGATGCAAAGATTAGTACATTAGCAAAGATGTGGCACAACAAGGAAGTAAAAGCAGTGCTTTGTTAATTTAAATGTGAGAGTGCAATAAAATGATTTAGTCCCCAAAAACCATTAACAACTGTGACAAAAAAATCATGCTCATGGTGATTATTGTTTTGAACATAGTCGTGCAGCCCAACTAAACTGTCATGAGACTGGCTACTGTTAATGTAAATCACTATCTTCAGCCCTTTATAGATAGTAATTGTGCAAATTTGCAGCAAAGCCCAATCAGTCTTTTTTCAGCATTGGCAGTATAAAAACAAAATCGGGGAGTACGGCAAAATGCTGCCTTCTTACTGTTGTTTATACAGAATTAGCCTTTTTCGGGGCAATGGGGGGTGTGAGCAAGTAACAAAATGTGTAGCTCAGCGTGTGATGTAAACAGTGACGTGGGAGGGAAGCTGCGGCTGGTCAGTCCTTCGGCAATTCTCTCATAAGTTGGCCCGTTCTTCACCATTCCTGTCATCTGACGGTTAATGGCCTCTTTGTTTGCGAGGGCAAGGAGGCTGCGCAACTCCTTGTCTCCTCAGTTGCTCATCTTTACAGTGTCTGTCAGGTTTGTGTTTCCCTCTTGCTACTAGCTGCTTGCTAATTCCCGCTAGCAGCTGTTTCCTGTTTATCCACATGTGGCATAATCAACAGCTCCTCCCACAAGTCATCAACAGCCCGTCCCGTTGTGGAAGGCCGCCTCGGTCTGTTTAAACTAAAAGGCTTCCGCCAATATGACTACCCTACGAGGCAGAAAATTGGGCACCTCAGATCAACTCGCCAGTCTGGCTCTGTGTGTCTAAACGCTTGCAGCTTGCCGGCAAAACGGCCCAACATTCACGGAAAATATGGCGGTGTAAAAGGGGCTTTCGAGAAGTTGCTTCCTAGCTTCCTGTTTTTGCAGTAAACTTAATGCAGAATCAAAAAGGACTATGCAAGCTATTTTGTGGGCACTTTAACTAATTTACATATTGAATGCGTGAAAAGAAGCCATGCTTATAGTATCTAAGTTGGTCGATTAGCCTTTCAGCAATGTGCTCTTCCTCATATCAAAACATTAAAGTGTCTGACTCTGCATCATTGGTTGGAAGAGCTGCTGCAGCAGTGAAGTTGCTGCTACATGAGGTGCTGATAAAAGTGCAACACTGTCACTACTCTGCATCTTAAAACACTGCAGTGGTTGCCACACATAATGACCACAGCCCGTTTATTGTCTGCTGGCAGGTTCTATCTGTTGGACAGGGAAGCAACTATTGTGAAAGTGTGTGTGGTGGCCAGAGGCACGCAGACACCTGAGATCTGAGGTGCTGCACCACACCTGGCCTCCTGAGTGGCTCTTTTTTACTGCTTAATGGCCACAGGGCCACTTAACCAGGTATACAGATGTAAATATCACGACACAGAGAGTTGGTAGATAAGCAGCGACTCAGGCCTGGGTTAAGTAGGGTCTCTGGTTTCCCAGTGGCTGACAGAACGAAATCAGATCTAGGCAGGGTAGGTTGTGTGTTTACAGCTGTGCCAGAAGCAATGTGACAAGACGCCTCCCAACTCCTAATAGCTTCCTGTTCAAAGCGGAGGGAAAAAACAATTTAAAAGCATTTTCAGTAAGTAAAGAGAATGACAGTTGACTTCCATCTGCAGTAAACCATCATTCTGCTGCTGCAGGCTCATTCATCCCAACAGGGTATAGAAAGCTGGTACAGTAAGTCAAATCACACACTTGGAACCCCTGGACTGTGCAAGTAGCCAACCTGTGATTTGGCCATAACATGGGTGGTTTCATTCTTAACACGTTAATGACTTGGTAAAAAATGTTACATACTTATGATGTGTTTTAGGTTGGAGCTTACGTGGTATCAAGATAGCACTGTGAATGGCAGCCTTAGCACTGCATTCTCTTGTATCTTTTCCTAATCTGCAGTAAGCACTGTTCCCCTGCAGCTTTTCATCCACCAGTTCATTGTTACTGCATCTTCTTTCATCATATCACCCTTTTCAACATTTAACAAACTCTAAAAAAGTCGAATTCCATACTATACACTAAAAGTATAGTACATATTAGCTGTGTACTAATTGTTATACAGGTTTCCAGGAACAATATAATCTTGCACTAATCAGTGTCAGTGAGAAGGCTACTTTTGGAGCTCATCACCATCCACATTTTATTTTAATGTTTAGCATTTGTGTTCATATCTTTGTTTTTGGATTGCATTTGTGAGACAACAGTTGCCTGTGTCTAAACTTTTGAATCTGCCCACTCTACTGCGTTTGAGTTGACTGATTCATCTGGCAAAGTGACATGAAACGGCGGTTTCTCTTGAAATTAAAAAAAAAAAGACCAATGAATCTTATTTCAGACTGAAGACATAGTGTAACAAGTTGACAGTTGTGTGTGTGACATCAAGGAAAGACAACCACTGCTTTACCTGACTCAGAATAATGTCAATCGAATCAGATTTGGCCGCTCAGTATGAATAATTGACTTGGTTCCTTTTCTCCATATAGAGATTACGAGTTTGAATGGGCTTTGATGGGTTTTTCAGGGTTACAGTGACATTCATGCAACATAGTAAACACACCAGGTTAGCCCTCTGAGCTAATGCTTGCCAACTATGCTAACAATGGATCAGAAATGTGCAACAGCATTTTTTGCTGGCACTAGATATCAACGAAAAGCCAGAGACTGTATCGCATTAAGTTTCTGTGAGCTGTAAGCTCATCACTTCTGAGCAGAAGATACCTTTTATATCAAGAGTCTGACTGGGTAATGCCTTTCTTCCTAGGCAGCTGCCTATGTCCCACTCAAGTCCTTTTTACACAGAGGTCACACTATAGGGCCACTATGAAGTCCCCTATTTACACCTCTGCTCTAGTATGTGATTTTAGACGGCATGCTGATATTGCAGAAGCAAAAGAGGCATGACAGCTGTGATATGTATCACAACAGTGTCTGCCTCTAATTTAATATATAACATAGGCATCAGTAGCACTTTCTAAATAATAAAAATGGCATAACGTGGCAATAATAATCATTTACCGTCTCTGTTATGGGGCAGCTGATCTCTGCTCGGAGGGTAAGGAGCTCCCGGACCTCATTGTTTTCCCAACTGGGGACATTTTTGGTGGCTGTTCTTCTTTGAGTTAGCTGCTAACTGTGACAAGCTACTTTCTAAATCTTCCATGGTGGTGTGGCATAACAAGTCGTCAAAATGTCACGCCCTGGCTGCCCATGGTCCCGTCCTGCCAGCTGTCCCACTTATATAGAGGTCATTTAAGCACTGTTACTACCTCTGATCCTGGCTTAATGGCGAGACAACACTGTCCCTCCATTCTGCAATTATATCTTTTTTTTTTTTTTTTTTACAGAAAGGCAAGGCGGCATAACAGTGAAATTCTTACCTTGAAAAGGCAGTGTGAAAGGCATTTCACACTCACCCTGGGTCTGGGTCCACAGCTACCTGTAGCAGCATAAAAATGAAGAGCCCTTTTTCTGCAGCTAAATCTGGGGACAAAAACCGGTCCAGTAGTACACTGCACACTGATGTAAAAAAGAACCAAAAATATTGCTGGACTTGAAGAACCTCAGCTGACTGAGACGCCTCTGACTACTGATTGAAGTCTCAGTGCGCAGCCCTAAAGACAACAGTATACATTTACAGCAAAATCAAAAATCATGCATGCATGCAATCTTATTAGTGTGAACACCATATAATCAAGACCTGCTTAGAGTCAGTCTGTAAATATAACGTGATGGACTATTAATCCCACATAACCCACTCTTAGTTTGCAGTCACTGTAATACAGCGACAGACTTGACAATGACCTTGATAGCACAGCAAAAGAGACGAGAGGCATTTAGACTGTTACTGTAAGATGAAAGCAAGAACAAAAATGCAGGAGTGAAGCAAACCTTAATGGAAAACAGTGTTACTTGGGAGCAGCAGATCCACTGATGCCCAAATATCCTGACCGTTTTAAAAAACTGCACTTTCTGTTCAGTTTCTTGCATAAGCACACATACTGAATCAATCTGTTTGTCAAAAGGACAAATCTGGCCCGGCCCTGCTCCTGCACCCTAACCGTGTGCTCTCGCATTCAATGGGGAATGACCACAGTGACCCACAATATTATGGCTCTGTGGGCTGTCCAGCTGTGAGCGCACAGTGAAAACGTGCACACGAAGACAACACAGTTTAAGCATGCTATACCAACCAGTGGAAAAACTACACTGGACTCACTATCAACCAAGGTCAAAAATGTTTATTGCAGTGACACCCCATACACCCCATGTAATTTAAATGACTGTGACAGAGACCACTGATTGAGCTAAATACAGGAAGGAGGAAACAATATTGCGGATAAAGTTTTAATAGAGTGTGTGTCATTGGTATGAGAGCAGATCAGCTTTATGATAAATCAGTTTCATCCCAGATATCCCATAAACCATCCCTCTGCACGTCTGCTCTTATTTCTACTTTCATCTGTTTCTGTCTCCCGTCCTCCAGCCGGCAGCAGGAGATCGAGGAGAAGCTGATCGAAGAGGAGACCGCGCGGCGAGTGGAGGAGCTGGTGGCTAAGCGGGTGGAGGAGGAGCTGGAGAAGCGGAAGGACGAGATCGAGCGGGAGGTGTTGCGGCGCGTTGAGGAGGCAAAGCGCATCATGGAGCGGCAGTTGCTGGAGGAGCTGGAGAGACAGCGACAGGCAGAGTTGGCGGCGCAGAAGGCCAGAGAGGTAACGCTCGGTCGTTTGGAACGCAGCCCCTCCTTTCCCTACATAGTTCCAAAACTCCTTAACCCCTGTTCCCATCTCCCTCCCAGTCACCTCCTCCGGCTGATGCCTTTGTATGGGATGTGGGGACAGTGGAGGTGCAGGGACCTCCCACCCCTCCCAGTTTAATTTTCAGAATGTAATCTAGCCATGGTACAAGTTTCACTGCAGGGAGGGTATATGCAGAGCCTGGAAGTGGTCTAAGTGGTTGTATTTTATGGTAATAGAGGTTTGCCAAGGATTTTTCTGCACATGACTTACAAAACAAAATATATAGAGAATAATGATGCCAGTTTGACAGTCTCTTGACTTATCAAGTCATCCCTGTAGTTCTGTTTATCTATGAAGCTGTGGCAGCGAAGTTAAACTTGGCAGATTTTTTTAAACATTAAGAGTCCCTGTAAATCTTAATATGGTCATTTCTTACAATTTCAGATACGTGAGATGAGAAACTTTGTGCATGAACTTCAGTGCACATTACTCACAAGGGCACAAATTAATCAAAATATTGGAACTTTATACAATGTGCACACGGTCACATTTTCTGCTTCTGCAATTCAAATCCTTTATTTTCTCGCAGCCACTTAACAGATTTTGCACCAAGAAGCTAAAAGTATGGGAATTTGAATTCCTAACAGCTGGAACTGAAGCGGCAATTTAGTCTTTAAGGATGTCAACTGCCTGTTTCATACTTGAAAGGTGAAATGTGACTACAGCCACCATTAATTTTGGCATCTTGAGGGGATTTCCTAACTTGCCAGTGAGAGTTTTGCCATGGCAGGGTTACAACATTTTTTTGTTCTTTTTTTTTCCCTGGTTCGGCTCAATCTTTTACTTTTCATATTTGCTAGCATCTTTGTGTATATATGTAATAAAGAGCTCTCTTTTTTAAGATGACACTACTGTTTACATTCACTGCCTCTGTTCATCACTGGCCATTTCTAAACGTTTCCCAAATTCCTAAAATTAACAACTAGTTTATATCAACTTTTTAGAAAAAGTATAGTTTTTTTTATGCATGGGATTAACCTGGCTGTAGTTTGAGTTCTGATAAGCCCAATTTTTTAACAATTGTTATTATGCACTACTTAGACCTCTTTAAAGAGTAAGGGTAGGCAACTGTCTGACAGCCCCTGTGCACCACCTCCCAAGGCTTCATTAAGAAAAGGGGGTTTGTTTACATTACAGTATTGTTTTGTGAATGAGAAGGCCAGCTCAAGCCTAGTGACCCTGACTAGCATAGGGAGCAGCCAGTGGCTCGGTACTAATAGGGTGAGAAATGTAGTCCGAGCATGCCTCCTTTACCTACGTGGACTTAGTCGGTCACCCCTCTCCTGCCTTCTGCTCTGTCTGTATGCTACCACCCTTTTCTTTCTAAATCTCCCACTCTCAGTCTTACACACTGTTGATTGATGAGACCGGTAAAACTAGTGAGGCCATTTAATAACCAAAAGGTCCAGGTCAGCCCTACAGCATTCAGCTGATGAAGCTTTAGTTAGGTGCCCCCACTGTCGTAACTCTTGTGGAGATTTTCTGTCTCTGTTGCACTGACATTTGAAATCAAACTTGATGTGTAGAAATGTTCATCAGATTTGTTTAATTCACAGACAGTTTGTCCTGTACAGGTTTTCTTTATCACCCCTTACCTTCTCTTTAACAATCCTTGTTTTGAGAATCTTCTGTTTGACAACATCTGCTCTTGGATACATAAAGATGGACCACTACATTTCCTGTTTCCTGTTTGACAAGGTTAACTATCTCTGGTCTAACCTTTGATCTGTTAATATATTTCTAACATTCCTTATTTTATACAGTTAAAAGCTTTTTCTCCCTAGAAAAACAAATGTACTGTGTTTTGTACTCATGACTTGCTTCTCCTATAGGGTTGCTGCTAAGATTGATATTGTTATCTGTAAATACATTTGTGTTGTTTTTATTTTGGAAACACAACTTACCAACTTCCTAACTAGCACTTGACCTGAGCTGGCCTGCAGCCTTTCAGCTCACTCGTGACTTGTGTCCTGTACTGTAAGTGTACCATGGTGCGGTCCTTCCTTGAGCACACACAGACACCACTTTGTACTGTACTCTCCTTCACTCTGCTATGGTCTCAGTGGGGACTGAGCCACTGTAAAGACGAAAGGAAAAAAAACACTAAAAATGAATGGGAGCTGTGGCTGCAGGCTAAGCAGTACAGAGATCAGAGTTATAAAGAGGAATGCTGCCGGCGCGGTATGGCAGAATCCCCCCCATACCTACCCACCCACCCACCCACCCCAGGAGCGCTTCTCTGTCTCTGCAGGGGCCACACAGTCCGGACGAGACAGTAAATATTCAACCGTTAAATGCCGAATGCTTTCACCAGTTGTGTAGGTACACAGGCAAGGAAAATGCGTAGGTATACGTGCATTGGTGAGCCAAAACTATTCCCTCCTTTATTTGTATCCTTTTTTTCTCTTGCTTATAATGATGTTAAAAAAAATCAGCAATTGTATTTTCCTCTAGATTGTATTGTCTGTCATTTATATTTGTCTTCTATTTATGAGTGTGATGAGTGGGTTTCCCCCTTTTTCAATTCTTGTTTAAATTTTAATGTCTTTCACAATAATACCCTAGGTGTGGCTTAGCTTTTAATTTTTCTAGGAGGGTGTTAACGACTGTAGAGGGAGGGAACAAAAACTAGCGGGTTCATTTTTCCCCCAGTTTCTTTATGCTTTTTGCCCCCTCTTTGTATTTTTAAAACAATTCAGGCTGACTGCAAAGAATGCCACAGTGTGGTCATGAGCGAGAGGCTAAACAAACTTCTCTGTGGTGTAATGAGTAAGTTGTGTGTGTGCGTGCGTGCGTACTGGTGGCAAGCGTGTGTGACAATTAGAGGGAAAGCATGTGTATGTATGTACAGAAAGTGCTTTGTGGCTGTAGCCTGTTCATGCGCTAACATGGCACCGTGTCACCCATCTAGGAGGAAGAAAAATCTAAGCGGGAGGAGCTGGAAAAAATCCTGGAGGAGAATAACCGCAAGATCGCCGATGCTCAGGCCAAGCTGGTACGCCCTGCTCTGTGAACAGCACAGCTGCTGCTTTTCTGCCAGCTACTGGACATATTCGTCCCATTTCAGTCAAATGCATAACTTTCCATTTAATTGTAACTTGTTACCTTGATCACATACGAAATGACAAGCACATATTAATTCCCTTTTAACACAGCACTTACACTTAAATGTGAAATGTTTTTGTAACATAATCACACAAGAATGGGGTTTTCTTCCTTGATTCACTTTTAATGTTTGCATCATATCGATACCTACCAATTAGTTTTTTGTTTTGAAATTTAAGTTTCCTTATCACATCCAGTGATAAATAATGTCACTTCTACGAGCGGTAAGAAAAACCGACACACGTCATGTCTGGTTTTAATGTCACTTATGTGTCTTTAATTCCAAATCTCTGATTCACTGATTGAGACCTCAAGGCTTTCACCACACCACACCACAACATGACCGAATAACTTAATAGTCCTTTGGCAAGAACCACTTCTATGGAGTGGCTTTGAATTGATGGTTATCAGCCTTGGTTAGAAATCCAGTGGCTTTTCTTTCCTGCTGGCTGTATAATCTTTAGTCTGACTAATTTGTAAAGCAGTGTTTATTTGATTCAGGCTTGATTTGGACAGCCACACCCCCAAAAAAAAAACGAAGAAAGAAAAGTGAGGTGGGCAGTGTGATACTTGATCTTACAGGGGTATAAAGATGATGCCAGCAGTTTGTGGGCACTTGGCCTGAAAAATACAGTTTTGTGTCCTTGTCTGACCTTATTGTTCCTGCTTGCTTTTCATGTCCAACAGGCTGAGGAGCAGTTGCGAATTGTAGAGGAGCAGAGAAAGATTCATGAGGAACGCATGAAGCTGGAGCAGGACCGTCAAAGGCAGCAGAAGGAGGAGCAGAAAATCATCCTCGGCAAGGGCAAGTCCAGGCCCAAGCTCTCCTTCTCCCTCAAGGCCACCGAATGAGACTGCTTACCCCTTCGTCCACACATCACACCCTGCCTTCATCCCCACCCAGCTCTCCCTCCTCATCATTCGACGACCCCCCCCCCCCCGTGGAACGCTCACTTCGTTTTGGAAGTGCTGAAGGAAGGCCAAGGAATGGGGTGCAACCTGATGTGTAAACTTGCTGGTCTCTGTTAAAGGCCTATGTTGTCCTTCCCGGCCTTGAAGAGGAGGCAGCTATTCAACCTTGAAGGACCTGATTACTTCCCTCCATCCTTCTTCATCCCTACCACACAGATGACTTGTTTGTGCTTTTTTTTTTTTTTTTTTTCATTTTTTAGAGAACTTGAACTTTTGATGTAGAATGCTATAACATGTCCCTCACCCTGTAAGTCTTAACTCTGGTGTAACAGCGAGTAACTGTACGCCTGTGCTCTTCTTACATGTCTTCACAGCCAGCAAACAACAATAGAATGCCAGTCCCTGATATAGAAGAGTATGTGTGACTTTGTCTAGTTCAGTCTACTGTAAAAGCTTGTGTGCAGCTTGGGAGTTGGCCTGTGGTTTTCCTGTTTTTTCTTTTTTTTTTTTTTTTTTTTATAAAATAAGGTTCCTAAAATGGCTGCCAAGCCTGCCAAGCCTTTAAAAGCACAGTTCACTTCCCGTCCAGCTGACAGGTTTGTGTCTTCCACCTATCTTACTTCCTTTGCCCATAAGCTGCATTCACCATATAAATCCACAGCATCTCTCCTTCTTGCTCCAGCTCTGTCTGCCATCTCCATCATTTTTTTTTTCCTAAATGACAGCAGCATGTTGACCTGAGAGGAAATGTAAAGCTTGCTTTAGATTTGAAGTCACTGCAGTGCAGGGGAGCTCAGCTTCGACTCCTAAGCTGCCCATGACTGAACCACAAACCTACAGTAGAATATGTGTCTCTTCTACAGCAATGGGGCCTGTGGGTAATGGAGGAGAGTGGACATTTTCATGTATGATGTAATTTTATTAGCCTTGCTGTGATGTGCTGAGTCCCACTCCTCCTCCTACCTAAGTTAAGATTGTGTTATAAATTGGATCCACAATTAGAAAACAAAAAGTGACAGTAATGGTAAATACTTGAGTTTTGTTTTATCAGACTCTTAAGTGAAAACAGTGAATGGTATGAAAACACCCAACCACACAGTTGGTGTTCTGTCCCTGAGATTTGTTGTAGTAAATTAACTTGGCAAGGCACCTCACTTGGTAAGTCTTGATTCGTGTAGGATGGACAAGTTCAGGTAAGATAAGGTTTGAGGTCAGCAGCAGTGTGAGTGTGCATGAGTGAATGAGCGAGTGTGTGTGCATGTGTGCCTGCATGCGAAAGTATGTGGTTGTGACTGACGAGCTGACCTCAGGTGGGTATAATGACTTTTTATGTTGTGGGATTTTGAATTTGTCGTGTAATTTTCCCCAATTGTCAAGGGACTGGACAGTTCAATAAATCCATTGAATGCCTCCACCGATGTGTGTGTGTGTGTGTGTCTGGATTTATTCACCAAGGGTTAAACTAAAAAGTGCAGAGTAAACCGATCTGAACTCAGTTTACCAGGATTAACTTTACTTAAAATTGGTTTCATCAAGGGTTCAAGCTCTTCCAAATGAGTTCAGTTTCTCTCTGACATGGCCCTAACTCAAACTGAAGTCACTTCACACAATTGTTTTAAATAAGTAGTCATTTGACCTGGTCAATGACAAACTTTAATGGCATTTCTGGCAGCGTCTTAGGTTTTGTCAGCGGGTTATTGCACACTACGATCCATTTTCTACCCTTGGGCCGTGCGGGACCAATACATCAATGTCAAGTTAACCAAATCCCTGTAATAATAGCGTCTAATGAGTTGGCAGCTCCAGTTTGAGACTTGTGCAGCTGCTGGTTTGTTTCCAGCAAGTGAAGGCTGACGTGACAAAGACTGAGATCACTGCTAACCGACCGTGAGTTCAGCAGGCGCGGCCTCATTATGCTGTTTATTGCATTATTAAAATGGCCAGTGCAAATACACATGGATTTCATCAAGGGAGGAATTATATATTGGGGAATCACTCTACCCCAAGACATTGGTATAACATATATTGCCATGTGATTAAACCACATACTGCCATCCAAAATAGTAATTAGCAGATGTAATCATAATCATAACTAATTAAGTTATTTTGAAAGTGTTTTGTATTTTGTCTTGCAATTAAGAAATATGTCAATATGTCATTTTGCACTTGAAGTGTAATTGTGAAAGTAAATAATATTCTGAAGTTGTTAATGTAAGGGACTGTTCTGTGCTTATGAAGGCAGAGGGTGTGGTGCAAAAAGGGGGGGGGGGGGGGGCAATACTAAATAATTTCTTGAGGTTATTCTGTCTTAGGGGAGGGGCATACAAATTTAAATTGGTTGTTTGGTTGTAGTTGTCCTAATAGTTGTATTTATTTTTTGCAGATTTGAAAGAAAACAAAGGTATGTTTTCTTTTGAATTGCCAAAATTACACTATTTATCATAGCCAGAAACTGCAAAACAGAAATTAGTGTTGGATTTTCACATTTCTGACGGTTCTTGGACACAGTATGTAAAAAAGAAAAAAAACATCTGATCTTAAAATACTGACATTTCATCAGATTATTATTAAATTATTATCAAATTATTATTCTGCATGTCATTTAAAATTTGGCCAAAGATAAACCATGTGCAAGAACTTACCAGCATGCACAATAACAGTCAAAACTGTTTTCTTTTTTTCAACTCCAGGGTCATACATTCTCTGCCAGTCACTCAGGGAGGTTCAAGGAAAAATATTTGTAGCTTTGGAAGGGTAAAAAAACAAAGTCACACCCCAGCCGCCTCTCTCCTCTGATAAGTGAAGATCAGTACCTATTGGCTGATTAAACTCGGGGCACTAGACTAACTTGTTTACCTAGAACAGAGTAGCAACATTGCTGATTATTTCCATACCTCTCTCATGAAGTTAGATTCATGTCAACATTTGTGACCCGCGTGTGAAGTTGTCTGCAGTTTAGAAAATACACCACCTAGTCCATCACCCGACACCCGTCTGATTATCGGTGAGAGGTGCCCAGCCCAGCCCGCTCCGGTGCACCGCGGAAGAAACAGCTCCACCGTCCCGCGGCCTGTGAGCTCTCTGTCCCGCTCCTGCCGGTCTCTGTCAGCTCCGCGCAGCTCATTGCAGTCAAGTCCAGTTATTATAACAAGGAGGAATTGTAGTTGGTACAAAAACAGCTGGCTTTGAAAAACGTTTTTCGCCTCGAAACAGTTTTAGAGAGAATTCTAAATGGTAGCCTAAACGCACCCCCAGCCCAAATAGTCTACCTCTGTTGGTCGAAGATCAGTTTGAGCTGTTTAATATTAATCTTATGTATATTGCTCAAGTTCTTTTAAGTTTATTTTCAATGCAAACTGAGACCTTCTCAAACTTTTTGCACTGATTTTAAATATTTTTTTCATTCTGTCTGTCAGCAGGAAGATTTCCATTTAATCTTCTTTCTTTTGACATTGTTGGAACAATAAAGTCCCGTCCAAACTACTTTGCTGTAAATGTGAAAGATTCACAGTGTGTGTGTGTGTGTGTGTGTGTGTGTGTGTGTGTCCCGGTTGTCGTGTCAGCCGGACTGATCTCCGGGAGAGACGCTCCACAGCCATCACTGCCCGGCGGGTTGACTGACTTGTTTCAGCCCCACAGAGGCAGGAAGGAAGACATTTAAAAATAAAGAAACTCCACACTTCCTCTGCGCTGTCATCCACACTTTTTCCCACTCAAATAATACATTTATGACACAATCAGCCAACTTTACAAGACATTAAAAATAATTAATTTTGAGTTATCACAATTTGCAGTTCAGAAAGTGGAACCTTTTGCCACAGACATTTTACATGAGTACAAGAATAGGCATGTTTTAGGAATATTTTACGGTGAGAAAGAAAACAAACAAACAAACAAACAATAAAAATACATTTTAAGATCAACTTTAAAACTTTTTTAGATGACCAGGTGGAGAAAACAAAACTCAACTTGCCTCAACATCCGGACATTCACATCTGTCTGAAAACGTCTTACACATTATAAATCGTAAAATCATAAAAGAAATAAAATATTCTGCAACTATCTGGGGGATCTTTCCTCCAGGCGTAAAGAAACCGAAACACTTAAATATTTTTTTAAAAAAAAGGTTGGGCAAGGCCATACGCACTGGATCGCGCGTGTCAGTCCTGTTAATCTAATCCATTCGCTGGCCTTTGCTTTAACCTGTCTTTGAATTAAATTAATGTAACGTTCACGCTGCTGCAATAAACATGCAGTCTGTGGTGCAAGCCTGTGCCCCTCTCTGTGTTTATTCCAGGCTGGGGAAACAGAGCAGTGGGATCGGACTCTGCAATTATCTGTCCGGTGTTATATCAGCTTGATTATCAACTAAGCAAACAGCCGCAATCCACAGTGAAAGAAAACGCCCTGATCGAATTAAGTCCTTAAAAAGTGTCAAGACTTCACACGTTACATTCGAGGAGCTGTAAACTGTCAGAGGTGTGTGTGTGTGTGTGTGTGTGTGTGTGTGTGTGCGTTAAATTAGATGTCATTCACTAAATATTCAGTGTTTGCTTAAAGTGTGCGTGTGGGTCATTTTAATTAGGCTTTGAAGGAACTTTAATGTTTGTTAAAATAATGTTAGCAGTTACACACCACGATACTAGGTCCAATAATGTAACTGATAATTACTGAATATTTTTGTTCACTGGGGAAAGCCTCCAGTAAAAAACAAAAAAACAAACAAACTAACAAACAAACAAACAAACAAAAAAACACCTTTGTGTTAAGAAATAATATCTGTTTTGAGTACTATAATTGTGTATTTTATTTGTTATAAATTAAAACACTAATGTGTGATTTTTTTTAAATTTCATTTTGATGTAAAATGAAACATAATTCAATGGTTTGTGTCTGTCCTCGGCTGTCTCTGGAGCGAATTTTCCGCTAGTGGGCGCTCGTGTCCTTCGGAAAAACTTGAAGTGCAATAAGGCGCTCTCAATGGAGACACATACAGCAGCACTGTGGCTCAATACAGTCGTGTCTATGAGCCTTATGGGAACAAATGTTTTCTCGTTGTATTCATTATGAGACTATCCAAAGAAACTATAAACACGCGAGAAGTGCGCGTGATTCGTTGTGTGGGGGCTGTAAGGCTTTTATGAGGAGTAAAAACGCGATTAATTTACATGAAGTCTGGGCTGTTTGTCAAGCCGTTCTGATCTTTAGAGGTGAGGAGTGTCATATTGTGTTTTAATTGTAGGAGAATTCCCCTTTATAGTCATTTTGTGTCCTATTATTGGACTAATTATATATATTTGTAATAGCCTATGTAATATCAGGCAGGCATGTGACAGTTTTATTGTTATAATTGGAAAAACATAAATGTATGCATTTTCAAGTCATCTACCTGCCTGCTGACAAAAGAAGAATTCAGCTGTAATTTTTCCCCATTTTGCTCACCACTAGTCACCGTACTGAACCAGTTGCCCTCGCTGACTGACAGCAGAGCTCCGATTGACTTCCCCGCCGAGGGACCAATCAGCGGCAGCGGGGGGCGGGGCCTGGGCAAAACCAGCTCCACCAAATATTCCCAGTCGCGGTCCGTTGCAGTTACTTTCCATCCAGGTTTCGGAGCAGCGCAGAGGCATCATCCCTACGTTGTCTGCGGGGCGTTTGGGACGGATCTGCAGGATTCAGCCGCAGCACTTGTTGGGGACCTATAGTATGAGAACTTCCATTCCAGCTCCTTTGATTTCTTTCATTCTCATATTTGATCATTTTCTTAATTTTGACCATCCGATCTCATTGTTTCGCCCTTCTCATTTTTCTGCTGCTGTCACCCACAGTTTGTTGCTCACCACCACCAGCAGCAGCACCACCAGCTGAAAGGGGAATATCTCACCATTCCACCACCAGCCATCACTGTCCTTTTCTCCGCTGCAGATCTGGATTTTTTGGCGTGCACTGCTGGACTATAACGCAGGGGGATTTATATTTATATTGATTTCCATCTGCCGCCCGGCCCACAGCGGACACCAACACTTTTTCTCTCTGAGGGATGTATTACAGCGGGGTGAAGTCTGCGCTCTGAACAGGGGAGAATACAAACCCACTGTGAGCTGAATGAACTACTGCCGTGCGCCTTTTGGTTTTTGGAGCAGGTCTCCCATCTGGAGATGCTCTAGTACGTCTGATCGCGGTTTGTGGTCCATGCGCATCCCCACTGGATCGGGATATAAGGTGAAGAAATTGCCGCGGTCAGCCTTTTCTGGAGCGCTTGTCCCCTGATTTATTTTTTGGACATATTTGGTTATTTTGATAAAGATTGTGCACCCACCCGGAGGCGCGCAGGCTAACCATGGGGGACTCTATGTGGAGATATTATTTTGGAGTTTTGTTTATTGCCTTCAAAGTGGACTTGTGCCGGGCGCTCATC